ATCTGGATTATTGAGCCTGGACTTGACTGTCAATGAAGAAGAGGGCCGGCACCGTTGGAGGGGGCGTGCCAAAGACACCATCTTGGCACCAACATAACTGGTTTGTTCCACTTTGCAGTAAGCTGTTGGGGGAAGAATCAGTTTTCTTGTGTGTTTTCTTGACTGAAGAAGTCTTCTGGATGGAAGGTGAAACGTTTCAGCAAAAAAAACAAGAAACTGTCCAGATGAGCTGACTGAAAAATGTAAAACACAAACAAACCAACAGATCGTGACAAACGACAAAATAAACTTGGTATTTTAAAATGCTTTAAATTAATTAATGTTCTAAACGCAACCAAAGGTGATGCCATTAAAAATGTCTGTTTTTGGAACATCTAATATTTTATATTTTTATATAAATCACATTCGTAGCTGCTGCTTGTTTCCCATTATTCTTAATAAGGATCGAGGCTGGTTCCAAATTAAATTTAAAAAGATAAACTTCAAATGCGTCTCAGCATTTTGTGAAAAAGTTTCTTATCCCTCAGAAGAGCTTTGAACCTTTTATTGTCCGTTAACGTTAAAACCGTCAGTGACCCGGGGGAAGTGTCGACCGCCTGACTGACTCTGAAAATAGTAAAAAATACTTTGTTGATGTTTTGCGGAGCCTCGTTTTAGTCAAACACACGAACTCCACTGTGAAGATTTTTATTTAATGTAACGTTACTCGTGCACGACGACGGCTTGTGTTCTGTTTTTCCTGACCCGGATACATCACGGTGCATCCGGTAGTCCCGAACCGTGGACAGCCCAGTTCTGCAGCCTGCATGCATGCGCAGCTGCTTTTTAAACGTTTAGTCATGCGACGTGCACGTTTGTCTGTGCTCGTTGCAGCCAAACTAAAACTGAATGTGTAGGGCGAGACGAGAGCTGGGACTCTGCAGCGACGTCCGGCCCGCTTCCCCGGTGAACGGAAGTCCGTCCCGGTAAATTGTATCGGCTCTCAAACGGCTACAGCAACACATCACTGAGTACATAAAATATACTAATATAAAACCTAAAGTACAGAGATGGGCTAAATAATAATTAAATGTACTTCTTACAGTTTATGCTATGATAAAAACGGGCTCATAAAATGTATAGTGGATTTCAACAGGGGGGGGTTCCATCATTCACCGGTTCATTAATTCATCGTAGAAGAGTCAAGAACCAAAAACATGTTCGAAGAATAAATGAGCAAGTCCGGATTAATTTAATCTGAAATAACGAGATTATCCTGACTGCTGGTGTGAAGCCTGAACGGGTCAACCCGGGGACGTCTGGTTCCGTAACCTGCTGTGGAGGTCCCACGCAGAACCAGAGTCTTTATGGATACAAACCACTAGAACCGACCATTACTCGTTCAGGTTCAACATGATGGAAACTACCGGATGTACCGGAGATGCTCGGTGCCACTGGTACAGTAAACAGCGGAAAGTAAGAGCACACCTGAAGCAGAATAATTATGAACCTGATCGGTCGTTGGTTCGTGAAGGACTCGTACCGACGCTCGTTAGCGGAGGAGCTCTTGGTGGTTTTTCCATCTTCTCGGTTGTTTTTTTTTTATTTCCTGCTGCGAGCACGAACCTGCCAAAGAACACGAAGCGCTCCCACCGGAGACTCGAGACGTTTATGTAATGTGAGCTGTGGTCGGCGTGACTGGTTTCCACACTGGAAGGATGTGTGGGAGAGAGGTGACTTCAAGGTGACGGCAAGAACTAGACAGATGGAGCGTCTGCGTGGTGATGGGACCAGAAGGACCGGCAAGTCTTCCTGAGGCCCGTGATGACACGGACAGAGCTCTGATGTTCTGCAGGAACACGCTTCGACTCAGATCCAAGCGTTGTGAGACAGCAGGATGAATCCAGCAGCTGAGTTCTGCGTATGGCGACTTGATAACCGCGGGCCCTGCAGCTAACTGACCCGCCACTGAAATATGGGATTTACGGTAATTAGGCCCCGAGGTTTAACATCTGGGGCTTGGGCCGCTCGTAAATCTATTCCTGTTATTCTTTCGCTGGAGAGATAATTCCAAACAGATGGTTGTTTTGATCCAGCGTGCCTTCAGTAAAACCGCTGATGCACCGTTTGTTCTCTAAAGGTGAGAGCGTTCGAGCTCCAGACCGATGGCAGTCTTCTGTAGAAACATCGTTATCTGTCTTTAGAGAAAACAGATGATGTCGTCTTTTTATATCGTCTACTACCATAACTGTAGCCTAACCAACCTGAAGCCTCTGAGCTGCCCTCACCCTGACCCTGAAACAACTGAGCTACCGTCACCTTGACCCTGAAACCACTGAGCTACCGTCACCCTGACCCTGAAACCACT